AGCCTCCTGAGGTGATTGCAATGTCCAAGGAAAACGCTAGAATCCTAGCCGCCACAACTCGACAAATTGTACAGATGTACCTAGGTGAATATGTGCCGGACAATAAGTGGGCCCGTCGCATTCGAATGATCAGGGAAAATATTCCTGATCAGATGCCAGCAATGCCTGGCCTGCAGGTAGGAATCCGGTGGCTTGCTGACACTGGATGTCCTTTCGACTTGGTTGGGATGCACGACATCCCTACCCAAGATCATCGCCATATCAAGAATGGGCGAATTCAACATTCACTGCAAACCGCCAATGGCGTAGCTGGGACCCAAGGTCGGGTCGATGCAACTGTTGAATCGCTTGACGAGGACATTGAAGCCTTCGTCATGGGTAATACACCCTCCATCATATCGATAGGGCGTAGATGTGTGGATTTTGGCTACAGTTTCAGGTGGGATGCCTTTGAGGTGCCTATTCTAATCTGCCCATCCGGCAGAACTGTAAAGCTCGACGTTATAATCAACGTCCCATACCTGCCTAAAGGGCCGGTCATGTTTGGAGCACCAAATCTAGACGCATGTCCTGCGATGCCGGCAATGCCCGGGCCAGTGCTTGCTCTGAACGATGAGCTGTACCCTGCAGCTCCCTCGGAGGCCGATGCGCCTGACGAGGGGGGTGAGGTTGTTGAGGTCAAGCACCCCGAGAGGTACAGGACTGAAGCTCAGTTGCGTGCCGAAGCTAAAACGCTTCAGCACATGATGACGCATTTACCAAAGAATCCGTTTTGCACGCATTGCCAACGCGCAAAGATGGAAAACGTGCGTTTGCACCGCCGTGGCGGTGCTGACGCGCATGAGTGCACGAAATTCGGTGACATTGTAACTGTAGATACAATGGTCCTGCACGGTTTAAAAGACCGTGGTGTAAATGGCGAAACCGACGCTGTCGTGTTTTACGGCCTCGCGACCAAGTACATAGATGTACTGCCCGTGTTTAGTCGATCTGTACCTAATACGGTAGAGGCTTTTCACAAATTTATGGGTCCAGAACCAAACATTAGTCTGTTATACTCGGACCAAGCCAGAGAGTTTCTTGCGGCTACTCGCCGAATGGCTTGGGTACACCACACCTGGAATGCCAAAGACAAATGACATTATTGAAAATAAGGTGAAGCTTGTACTGCATGGAGCAAGGGTACTCCTCAGACAAGCCGGCTTATCGCCCAAATGGTGGCCATTCGCCGTTCGCGCATTTTGCGCTGCCAGGAATCTCGAAAATCGAGGTGAAGGAACCGCATGGGGAAGAAGAAACGATGACAGGGATTTTCCCGGTCAACTCATCCCATTCGGATGTCTTGTCGATTTCAAGCCAATCGCGCCTAAACCGCGTAGGCTCGCAAAGGGGGGGCTCAAAAACGCCTCCGAACGGGACGATCATCACAAAGCTGATGAAATTCCCACAAAAGACCACTGGATCTTCGATGAAGAATCTGGCAAACTCGTCAGAGTGCACGTTGAACTTCCGTTGAACCAAGAACTAAGCTGTTCAAAGCTGACAGCGTTGATGCTCCAATCGAACACATTCGTCTCACCGCTGACCGTGATACATGGGTTCAGTATGATGAGGAGAATGGAGAAATGATGCACTCCGTAGACTGGAGATACGGTCCGGATTCCACTAAGGAGCTAAAGGCTCCGTGGACTGGCAAGACATATTTCACTGTAAAGCCAAAAGAATTTGACCCTCTTGAGGACTCTGATTACGAGCCCGAAGGAGATGACGGGCCAGCTGACGATTCAGGGCCGTCCGATCACGAAGAGGACGAATACAGCAATGTGCCAGCCATGCCGGCACAGAAAGTTGACCCTGCGTCTAAGGCGCCCAAATTCGGGCCAGTGTCGAAACCCGGGATTTTCCTAGGCCATCGATTAGAGCCCGGAGGTCAGTGGAAAGGCGACTACTACGTTGCCGATCTTGAGCACTTCAGAAACGGGTTTTCCCGACCGTGTTCACCAAGTCAAGAGAATTTGGCGGAATCCTGAGGAGGGATACGTTTTTCCCATGTTGGCTGCCTATGAGCGCCTGACTAGGGAGGTCCAGCTCCTAGACACGGGAGAAGGTAAGGGTCTTCCCAAAGCGGATGCCCCTGCTGAACCGGACAACCAGCTCGGTGCTGATGGTCCGGATCATGGCCAACCTAGCGATGACAATACCTAAAAGGGACCATTGGGCGCGTGATGAAGAATCGAAGTCTTGGCACAGACATCATGTCGATGCTAGGCAAGCTTTCTTCGGGGATGATACATCTCCACTGCCTCCAGGAGGCCCGTCCCAAGCGGACGTAGATGACTATCGGGTCACTCATTTGAAGTATCTTGACTCTACGCAGCAATGCATCCGTGATGATAGAAGAGTCCTATATCCTGGACATCGAATCAGAACTCATAGATTCTGGACTGGTGTAACAATTTTGTATGAAAAGGGGCATGCCCCTTCTAGGGCTCTGAGGGTCACTCTGACCAAATTTAAGACTAGGCTCGACAAAGTCAAAGACCTCGATGCAGGTGAGCCTAAGGCTCACACCTTACACGGTGACGAGCTTGATTACGACCAGACGGTTGGAAGAAAGGAGAGGTCCTATTCTGGATCTGGCAAACCCAACTCCATTTCTTCTACTGGCTGGAGAGGCATGTCCGTTAACATGCGAAGGATATACATAGAGGCTGAGAGGGAGGAAGCTCTGAAACGAGCGCGTGCTGGCGAGGCCGCACCCTCCGGGCCCGCTCTTGTAAAGCGAAGAGTGTTGGTAGAATTTGCATGTGAACCTGACTCTAAGCTCTCCGCCACTATGCTGGAACAGGGGGGTGACGCAATTCGCGTACACAAAGAGTCGTTCGACATTTTCAAGAACAAAGATATGACCAGACTGATTGAGATTGTCGACCAGAACCCTGGGTGTGACTTATGAGGCTCAATCCCATGTGGACCATGGAGTACTTGGCAGTATGTTAATCTGTCGCAGCACGGTCCCGAATTCGCCGTTGAGCTCAATGAAGCTAGGCGAACATCAATGGTCATGTTTGCTGCCTTCCTCCGTGTCGCCAAGCGCGTACGTTTTAAAGGAGGTAGAACTGCATTCGAATGGCCGAGGCACTGCCTTGGGTGGAAACAACCGTTCATGAGACGTCTAATCGACGATCCCGACACCAGGTGTGTCGATGTTGACGGTTGCGACTTTGGAATGCAAACATCCGATGGTGTTCCCATCAGGAAGCAGTGGCGAATCGCCACTTCTTGCCCTGAACTAGCCAACGAGCTACGTGGGCGCACATGTAGCCACGAAACAGGTTACCCCCACGCCAGGATCGAGGGAAGCCTATCGCCCTTGACTGCACGATATCCTATTGGGATGTGTAAAGCTGTAATTAAAGGTCTCTATGGGGATAAGCCCTATGCGGCTGCTCCCGCTACCTTGAGCGAACAGGACGATGCTCCTGCTGCGCCTGTTGAGGTAACGAAGGCCGATCCGTGTGCATGGAGACGAGACAAGGATGCCTTGCTCGTCCATATTATGAGTGATTACGCCACTCTCCCCACTCGGCAGACGCCTGGATCTGCAGGCTTAGATTTAAGCTCGAGTGAAGAAGTCACGGTTCCTGCAAAAGGGAGTGCCCTTGTGCGAACTGGATGCGCCTTTGCCTTCCCTAAGGGAGTTTACGGTCGCATAGCGCCAAGATCTGGTCTGGCAGTTAAACACATGCTCGACGTAGGCGCAGGTGTAATCGATCCCGACTTTTCGGGAGAAGTAAGAGTGATGCTTTTCAATCATTCTGATTATGAATCGACCTGGAGACAGGATCGCTCAACTCATACTTGAGAAAGTCATGATCGTTGACGCTAAGATCACTGTCAAGCAGCCCGACGTAACCGTCAGGGGGGTCAACGGATTCGGCAGCACCGGCGGGTATCCTGCTGGCCCTGCCATAGGATTAAACGGAGATCCTACTCCACCGATGCCCAGATCGAACAAGGCTTCGGGGCATCAACCCAACCTTCAGGGAATACCAACCTTTTATGCCTGTGTCGCAAGGCCTGTGACAAAGAAGGAGCAAGCTGGCAACGACAAAGCGCGCGCAGCTCTTCTCAAGGAATGGACAAAGCTCCGAAAGTTGGGATGTTGGGATGAACGAGGAGTTAGAGAATGGAGGAAAGTAGCCGCCGAAGCGCGTGCAAATGGCAAGACTGTCCATGTAGGAAGAATTTGTGTCGAAAAAAATCATGAACTCCCTGAGGATGATCCTAATCGGAAGCACAAAGGGGGAGTTGTGTTTGAGGAATGTTTTGTGAAGGACCAGGCAAATCACTGGGCCATGTTTTCCGAAGCTACCTCATGTCCGGCAACAATGGCCGCAGGCAAAATGTGTGATGCATATGGCATGTTGCCCGGTCACGCACTGCAAGTTAGTGATGGCGAA